GTGGCTGGCGCCTTAGCCGGTTGAGCTATAGGCGCCGAGCCAACACCCAGCTAATTTTTAGAAACAGGGTCTCACTCTTGCTCAGGTTGGTCTCAAACTCCTGAGCTCAAGCAATCCACCATCTCAGCCTCTCAGAGTACTAGAATTATAGGCATGAGCCACCACACCTGGCCATACTATTTTCTAAAGGGCTCCCAGTTTGCTCTCACTTAGCTGGAAAAAACACTGCAAATACTGGAGTTCAGAAACATTCCAAGATAACCGCAACCTTAAATAAAGTTGCCCACAGCATATCTAAGTCACTGGCATTTTCTTCAGTGGATACGGCCTTTTTTTTTTGAGACAGAGCCTCAAGCTGTCGCCCTGGGTAGAGTGCCATGGCCTCACAGCTCACAGCACTCTCCAACTCCTGGACTTCCAAGTAGCTGGGACTACAGGCACCCACCACAACACCCGGCTATTTTTTGGTTGCAGCTGTCATTGTTGTTTGGCGGGCCCAGGCTGGATTCAAACTCGCCAGCTCAGGTGTATGTGGCTGGCGCCTTAGCTGCTTGAGCCATAGGTGCCAAGCCGATACTGCCATTTTTGAAAATCTTCCCCAAGTTTAAAACAGAATGAAATACTCCAAAGGGAAACAGATGAAACTTAGAAAATACTAATACTGGCGGCACCTGTGGCTTAAGGGAGTGGGGCACTGGCCCCATATGCTGGAGATGGTGGGTTCAAACCTGGCCATGGCCAAAAAAAAAAAGAAAATATTAATACCAAGAACATTCCAGCTACTCAAGTTTGCTTAAGGCCAAAATCTAAATCCCTCCCAGTAGGGCTGTGGGGTTTAATACACCCAAGGGACAGGAGGGCAGCAGTGGCCTGGGAGACTGGTGCTGCTCACCAGCCTGACAAAGCAGTCTTGATTCCTACGTGAGTTTTTCCTAAGAGACTCCTACCCAGGTACGAAAAACAGGCCACCATGCTGAGCTTGCTAAACCTGCCAGGAGCCTCGCTGAGTCTGAGTCAACAAATGGACTTGGTCCTGGAGTGGGCAGAGGCTGCTTGAACACAATCTACAGCAAAGGGAAGGAGGGGGATGAGATGGCTTCAGGGGTGTGTATGTATGTTATGTCCTTTCAGGGGACACTGTCTGGAATGATAGCCCACAGTCCTTCCGAGGCTTAGACCACATCAGGACAGAAAGGTGATAGAGTATTCTCAAAGGAAACATCTACTGAGGGCTGACTGTGTGCTTTAAGATATAAGGGCATGTAGAACATTGTCTTTGAGGGAGTCAAAGAGCTCGTGATGCAGTGGAAGAAAGACAAGGTTAAGAAGCAAGCCTTTCCATGTTTTCTCTGACCCCCTCTCTGCTCATCTTCCTAACAAAGCCTTTTAACTGGGCGCTTCTGGGGAGTGGCAAGCTTCATGAACAATGGAAAGACAAATGCCAGGATTTTGTATAAATACAAAGCCAGTGTAAAGTGCTAAGTTCTAAGTTCTGCTATTGCTCTTAGGCCAGAGTAGAGCTGGTCTCACCCTGAGGAGGGTGGAGATAATATAGGTGGGTGGAAATAATATAGTTGTGCATCAGTGGGTGGAGAGAATGGTGGCTTTCTGTGTTAGAACTTATAGTCATGTGGGCCCATCTGGTTGGGAGAGCAGAGGAGGGGCACTGGCTGCAAACAGGGATTTTTTCTTTTCTTTTCTTTTCTTTTTTGAGGCAGAGTCTCAAGCTGTTGCCCTGGGTAGAGTGCTGTGGTGTCACAGCTCAGAACAACCTCCAACTCTTGGGCTTAAGCGATTCTCTTGCCTCAGCCTCCCAAGTAGCTGGGACTACAGGCAACATCTGGCTATTTTTTGGTTGTAGTTGTCATTGTTGTTTGGCAGGCACAGGCTGGATTTGAACCCAGGTGCTTGAACTGGCACCCTAGGCGCTTGAACTACAGGCACTAAGCCAATAGAAATTTTTTTTTTTTTTTTTTTTTGAGGCAGAATCTCAAGCTGTCACCCTGGGTAGAGTGCTGTGGTGTCACAGCTCACAGCAACCTCCAACTCTTAGGCTTAAGCGATTTTCTTGCCAAGTAGCTGGGATTACAGGCGCCCGCCACAATGCCCGGCTATTTGCTATTTTTTTTGTTATTGTTGTTGCAGTTGTCACTGTTGTTTTAGCTGGCCTGGGGTGGGTTCGAACCCACCAGCCTCAGTGTATGTGGCTGGTGCCCTACCCACTGAGCTAAAGGCATCACCTACAAATAGCAATTTTCAAGGCTGGCAGGGGCAGGGGCAAAAGCCACACTTACGTGGAGAGAACCTCAGAGGGCAGGTCAGTGATGTAAGAAGGGATCTTCCGGCCAGTCAGGAACTGTGCCACTTCATTACTGAAGGTGTTGCAGTTGTGTTCAAAGAGATTGTAGGCCTCACCTCTGTATATTGTGAGAAAGGTTTGGAGAACAGACATGAGAATGCCAGCAAGCATCTATGTGGAACAACTCAAGCCACATAGTGGAATGGTGAGCACAGGTGAATTACATTTCCTCTTTCTCTCAAAGGCCAAAAGGACTGCTTGATTTGTCACTCTGGACCATTAAGAACCGATGTTTCAGGGAAGAACGAAATGAAAATAAATATGGAGGTATAGGTTTACAGTTTAACCCTTATTGAAATAGACTAAAGCCATTTGAAGAGAATATATGCTCAAATTTGTATTTCAACTCAACCTCTCTGAAAATTCTGGCTTTTTTTTTGGTTTTGTTTTTTTGAGACAGAATCTCACTTTGTCGCTCTCAATAGTGTGCTGTGTCATAGCTTTCATAAGTCTCATAGTTCATAGCAACCTCAGACTCCTGGGCTCAAAGTGATTCTCTTGCCTCAGCCTCCCTGGTAGCTGGACTACAGGTGTCCACCACAACGCCCAGCTATTTTTTGTTGCAGTTTGGCTAGGGCCAGGTTTAAAACTGCCACCCTCTGTCTATGGGGCCAGCGCCCTATCCCCTGAGCTACAAGCGCCACCTGGCCCCATCAGCCAGGTGAGAGCACAGTGGTAAGATCATAGCTCATTGTAACTTTTAACTCCTGGCCTCAAGTGATCCTCCTACCTCAACCTCCAGGGTTGCTAGGATTACAACAGCCACCAGGCCCAGGTCTGCCAACCCTGTTTTTTTTTTTGAGACAGTCTCACTTTGTTGCCCTTGGTAGAGTGCCATGGCATCATAGCTTACAACCTCAAACTCTTGGGCTCAAGCGATCCTCTTGCCTCAGTTTTTCATTTTTTTTTTTTTTTTTGAGACAGAGCCTCAAGCTGTCCCCCTGGGCAGAGTGCCGTGGCATTACAGCTCACAGCAAC